ATATACACACTTTAAAAAAAAGTACTCATAGTTATTCTTAAGAAATAATACACGTGGAATTTCATCAATTGATTATCATCAACTTGCAAAATAATAGTAATTTAAATTTCCATCTTCTCTCATAGAGTATGTCTACTGTTCCTGAATGAACCATTTTTTCTGTCGTATTGCTATATTTTTTTTACATATAGCTACAAACCTCGTAAACAGCTTTTGTTGCCAGACTTGGACATAAACTTTAAGTAAATAATGCAATTTTACAAAACAGTAAAACATATTTTACTTAATAATATTAAAACCGCTTAAGCTAAATAATCATGTTTTAGTTGTATGACTGCTCGTATCTCTTAAACTCATGCACACCAAAAATAATTATAAAAGACAAAATCAGCTGACACGATTCCTTCTTATTTTTTCACCAATCCTTTACTTCAGCTGAACATCAACTTGATACAAGTACGTACTGTTTCGTAACCGTACGCTTATGTTAATAACTCAAAAACTGTTCAAAGAAAGGGAGAAATCCTGATCAAGGTCTTCTATCCATAATATATTACCACATTTATAGAGTTAAAAACCTGGCAAATTATTGGCTGGTATTTAATATCTATATTGTGGAGTTCAGATAGATACTGCAATTAGAAGAGACATTACGGAATGATGCTAGTTAGTGGTTTGTTTGTTTTGAATTTCACACAAAGCTACACGAGGGCTATCTGCGCTAGTCGTCTCTAATTTAACAGTGTAAGACTAGAGGGAAGGCAGTTAGTCATCACCACCCACCGCCAACTCTTGGGCTACTCTTTTACCAACGAATAGTGGGATTGACCGTCACATTATAACGCCCCCACGGCTGAATGGGCGAGCATGTTTGGTGTGACTGGGATTCGAACCCGCGACCCAAAGATTGCGAGTCGAGCGCCCTAACCACCTGGCCATGGCTAGTTAGTGGAAACTATTCTAAAAGGAGATCATTGGTTTGAAATTATTTTGGTAGGGAAAAATGTCAAACGAGCCACAGGTAATTCAGAAAACTTTGATCGAATCTGCTAACCTATTTAGGTACTAGAGGCTGTTGTGAGAATTATTAAAGTGATTAAATGATAAAAAACAGAACAGTTATTTACTCAAAATACGATTTGTATTAACGTTAGTGACAGTTTTAGGTATTCTGAGGAAAAATTGACAAACACTAGAGGTTGAAAATAAAAAATAAAAACTGCAAAAATAATTTTAAAAAGTTTGCCAATGTTTTTATACACTATATTCTCTCACGGATCACACCTTCAACTATTTTTATACCATTTTCATCTAAACGCATTAAAAACTTGTATCGTTGGTAGTTGATAATATAAGGGGTTACATTGGAGTATGAAGTAAAACTTAAATAACAACAAACTTTTAACATATAAAGATGGTTAAAAATGTACTAATGTAAAAAAAAAGATAGTTACGATGCCTCTACTTTACTTTGTTTTCGGGGTCTTTAATAATTTCTTTAATATATACATATTTACATTAGGCGACAAATTTATAATTCACCCACTAAGTTGGTATCAATTCCGCACAAAAGCTAGACTCAGCTGGAGTCTATTCGTGAATGCAGATATAGTTGTTTGACACAGTGTTTTGCACCTCAACTATTTAGGAATTAAAGAACTTGCTTTTTAACCTAACACGTCGGTATGACATGATTACAGATGTATATTCTTGCATAGCTTTGGTTTGAACAGCACAAGGGGTATTATCTACCACAGACAGACGTAAAGATTTCCAATATTAAACACCGCCATGATAAATATTGTAAGTTTCGTTACATACGTTTAATTTAAATATACACTTACATTTATACTTCACGAAGAAAATTTCACTTTTAGAATTATTTATGAAAGTTTAGGTCCCGTAAGTGGTGTGAATATTTCCATCATAAACGTACGATTCAGTACAGTACCATAAGTGGAGTGAATATTTCCATCATTAATTTACGATTCAGTATAGTACCATAAGTGGAGTGAATATTTCCATCATTAATTTACGATTCAGTATAGTACTATATGCAGGGTGAATATTTCCAAATACGGATTCATTTGCAATTATGCTTATTTGATCTACATCTAAACTCATAATTTGGCGTTTCGATCTTGAATAGTTATATATATATATGTTTGACGTTTTACATAAATTAACTTGGAACTTTTAGTTTTTGACAGATTATGTTATTTTACAATATAAACCAAAAAATAACTTCAAAGTAAGAAGATTCGTAAAAAAACACAAAAGAAACTATAAAGTGTAGTTGTACAACTATAATCAACCTTTACGTACTCAATGGGAACGTAACAGAAGAGTTTTGTACTCATTTACCTTAATGGTTACGCAAGCCTAAAATACATAAAAGTATCGGTCACATGTATATTTCCTCATCAACGTACTAAATCACATAGAAAATTGTCACACAGTTGTCTCAAGCTGTAATCTGTAATCTTGAGAGTGTGGTACGATGTAACTTATCTTACTTTTCTAACCTAATCAGGGAAGAGAAAAATAAATAACATGTTAATATTTATAAAATATGAACCATGTTACAAAAGTAAGACACATTAAACGTGAAGGTTTATTATTCTATTATTTCTCGTCGTGTATGTTTGATTCTACACCTGTTTCTCTCTCTTCACTGATATATGTGACAGTGCGTGTAAACGTTCAAGGAAATTGGAAAGTTAGCCTGAGTCTTTAATAATAAAGGTTAGACAGAAAACTACCGAATTACGTGAATATTTTTTAAACTAAGTTGGAATTAAAAGCCAACAACCACAAGCTTCATCTATTAAAACAACACTGTTGAAATATTTTAACTGCTCATTCGTTATGATTTTCCAGTTTTATCACCATTTCCTTCATTACATTTTTTGATTACTTACATATGTGTTATTATTACTGGTTTTCATACTGTTGTTAATACGATCCATAATTATTTATAATCGTTTCGTTTGGTGGCATTATAAGCACTAAGCTCATTTGATTGGCTGTCAATTATTTTGCGATATTTTTATCTTAATTCCAAAACAGACCAGCTAATGATTAGCGTACTAATCTATGAATCAGAGAATCCATGGTTCATTCTCCGTTCCTCTCTGGGCGCGCTATAAGAGTGATGACCAAATCCTATCAGACAACACTATCTTAAGAATGTGCTGAGGGTACTGTCAACTGTGCGCGTATTGCTATTGCGTACCTTTGAGCGAAAATTATAAATAAGCATACAAACAATTATTCCAAAATATAAAGCACCCCAGTGTCTCAACGGTAAGTCTGCGTACTCACAAAGCTAAAAACTGGGTTTCGATACCCTTGATGGGCACAGCACAGATAGCCCATTGCGTAGTTTTGTGGTGTAAGATGAATGAACAAACAATAAATCAAACAAACTTTGTTTCTCACACTGCTAGGGCCTGGTATGAGTTGGTGGTTGGGGTGCTTGTCGTTGATAAGGAGTAACTATAGAATTGGAGGTTGATGGTGTTAATTAGGTACCTTCCCTCTAGTCTATCACTTGAAAATTAAGAACGGCTAGCGCAGATAGCCCTCAAGTAGCTTTGCGCGAAATTCAGTAAAACAAACAATAAAGTAAATATCCTGAAATTGTTTCTGCTCGACAATAAAGTCCGTCCGTTGTTAAGGCTCAGTTATGAAAGCTTCAAAAGTTCGTTCCAATATAATTATCATAGAATATATATATATTTCAGAATCACATTTTCTTTACGTTCTTTTTGGGGTTTTGTTTTTCTTAAAATATTCTTATTGTATCCTAGATATTAAAAATACTTACTATTTTTTCCAAAATAAATTTGTCACCTAGCAAGTTATTTTAACAGTTCGGTTTGATAAAGTCGAGACGCGCACTTTTTTGTGGAGTGCAAACTTGAACAAGGCGATTTCAAGACCACGTCTAACTTGACTCAAACAACTATTACTCGTAAAACGGGAATGATATTAGGCCAAATATTCTTTAAAATATTTTCATTAAACACATTAAATTCACGTCACAATGTTTATGGGTCTTTTTCTGTAAAATCGGAATTTAACAAACATTAAATGCTTCTTCTAGTTTCTGAAGATACGTTTAATTTAAGCAGTGAAGTTCGCGAAGCAACCGTTACACTTTTATTCCCTGTACTTCGAACTTTGTACCAGCATCAGTTATCAAAAGCAATGGCTTATACATAGTTGGCTTCTTGATGCTGCCACCTGTGCAGTAACCGTTTAAGTATGAATCATTGTTTGAATAGCTTTTCAAAGGTTGCTATCAAAAGCCTATACGATACTTTATTCCATATTTCGTAGTTACACCTTTTGACATATCTCTCAACCATAGTACTGAAGCCATTATCTTTCCATTTTTGTAATTGTACGCTGGAATTAGGAAATTGACATATTGAAAATTGGTATTAAACTACAGTATACTATTTTAAAATAGAAAAATAATAAAGCATTGAAAAAGAAAAAAAAACACGTATTTCTTAGTAACACGAGAAAAGTGACAGTAAAAAGTATTTACCAAATAGATCATTTTAATTGCTTAGAGAATCCTACTACAATTTGAGAGAAGTTTGTTTGTCCTCTAACTCACCTTGGGTTTTTACATTTGGACCTGTCAAATAGGGTTTAATCAAATAGGAATTATAAGGAATGTGTAAGGAAGTTATTTTTCTTTTAAAATGCATAGATTTCGTATCTCCAGTGCTGGTTAAATGTAGATCAGTCAGAGGTGGTGACCACTAGGGCTACTGATGGGATTTCTTCAGTTTCTTCGTTCATTACATGGGGTGTACACGTAGCCTATGTAATTCAATCATGACTGGTATATTTACGATAAAAACAAAAACACTGTTTATTTTAAAAACTGGTAAAACGTTAACTCTACAGTTCTATTTCGTTTTCAAATCCCATCAATCGTTTGAGGGATTTCTCTTTCACACATTGTTTATATATACTTTCAAGATAGACCCACTTATATATAAGTGAACTTTTTTAAAGTCACATGTTAATGATTGCTTTGAAAAATAAATAAATAGTAAAAAAAAGTTATTCAAATAATCCAGCCTTGTGGACATTAATGATTTTATTATTATGTACTTTCAATCTTTATGTTTGTTTCTTTTGAAGTTAAGCACAAAGCTACACAATGGGCTATCTATGCTCTACCCACCACGGGTATCGAAACCCGGTTTCTAGCATTGTAAGTCCACAGACATACCGCTGTGCCACTGGAGGGCCAATCTTTATGTTGTCACTGCCATATTTCGGCTAAAATACTTTCATAAGCCTGTCACCGTGCATTGCATTGGCATATCTGTTAGTTCAAGTAATAGAAGAAAAAAGTCTTGAAATTAAAAAAATTATAAACATCTTTCTTTTCGTGCACATATATAGTTAAGATGCTTGAAACAAACCACACTTTATCGTTTTATACGTTAACTATAACAAACAACATAATAGGATGTCAGAAAGGCGTTCTTCTAGAAAATTTTAAACAATCGAAAATATTCTAAACATTGTAGGCTCAAGCAGAGAAATCAAGTAACTTTGAGATGCAGAAGAACATGTGTACCATCTCTCAGTTTCTAAACTGCATTTCCAAGTTTTGAAAGAAATGCACTTTTAGAGCTTTGACAATGTTATGTGGATAAGTTGAACCTTAAAGTTTTGAATACTTTCTGGAGAGACACTTGACTGACACATTTGTGGAATCTCTAAATTCTTGTAAAATCAATGCCAATAAAATGATACGTCAAGGAAATGACTGGATTCCAATATGCGCGGACATCGACACAGTTTATGTTCACTGCAATGCACATTCTCTGAGTCTGGCTATTGTATATGCTTCAGATGAACTCTTAGCGTGCAACATGATGGTAATAGTGCAAGGGATTATCTATGTATTTACAAATCTTGGCAAACTACTTGGAAAATTCAAAGAAAGCTTTGTAGTCACTCCTCGTAAACTTGAAGAGTTGAGGGAGTTATGTGAAACTAGGTGGTCAGTCAGCATGAGCTGACGTTTTATACATGTTTCTACATAGTTTGATGTAGTTGTTGACTATTTGTCCACACATGCAAACAACAGTGGTGACAAGGCGCAAGCACACCTCAATGACACCTTGCAATTTTTCTTCATCATAAGTTTAGTTGCGGTAGAGCATCTCCTACAGTCAGCAGTGAAACTTTCATAAATACTGCAGTTCAGAAGCCTGGATCTTGTGAAAGCGGTACAAGAGACACGAATAGTGAAAACGATCCTATCAGATGAACGAAGGAATAAAGCTGTTTGGGGTCAACTGTATGACAGCTGTCAGTGACTGTCACGTATTGCGATATTTTAGTTAATTTACGTTATTTCCAAACAAGATTGACACATACCATCTTCGTTTTTCACAAAAATACGTTTATATATATACAACAACAATTATTACGAACAGTTACCACAAGCAAAGTTTTATAAAACAAAGGTTTCACTAACTTAAAAACAACATAAAATCTTCTTTCTAGTTCAGAGTCTCCTCGATATCCAGCGAGTTAACTTGAAGTCGATGTACTTACAATTGCCAAGAAGCTAGCAAGCTTTGTCAGACACTGAATTGTTGGACCGTTGAAGTGAGATAATATTTTTCATAAAACCACTAATGTCCGATGAGAATTCAGTAATACTTTCGGAAAGATATTAACGTTCGATGAGAATCCACTAACGTTCGAAATGTATAACTGTTCCTGGTCAAATGTCGTAAATTTTCCGGTTGATAAGGGTTAGCAAAATCACGATTTATAGCGTACACGGTTATAGCAGGTTCCTAGCTAACTTTTTAAACTCTCTCTCTCTCTTGGCGCGTCGACTGTTTTTATAGGCGCGAGAAAGATTGTCATTAGAATAAATATATAACAAATTCGTTACAAGCAAT